GCTTAAACTTCATGGAAACCGAGTACTTTCCGATCAACTCCTCCADMCCTTCAACCACATCCCTCTTCCACATTGTTACAATCCCCCCAAAAGCACCCCAAGATGGAGCCGCGACCCAGCTAATCCCCCCTGGCTTTCCATACACTCCTTGCCCACTTGTCATTAAACTCCATTATCTTAAACTCTTGCAATAGCACAATGTCTGGGTCATACTGTCTTATTACCTCTTTTATTGTTTCTCTCTTCTTTGCACTCTCAATTCCCCTCACATTCCATCTAAGAATTTTCATTCTGCTTCTTTTTTAAAATCCCTTGCCACCTACCCACTACTTTCCCCCTTTCCTTCTATCTCCTTTTACCCCGAGCTTCTTGTCTCCTTCTACATCTCTCTTTAATCTCTCTACTTCACTCAATCTCCTCTTCTTTGTTATGATCTACTTCTTCCTCTTCTGTAAACTTTCTTTCAACTCATTCAAATCTTCCAGCCTACAACCCAACYTCCCTAYAAATTCTGCTATCGTGTCTTCTCTCACCGATTCCTCCACCCCTACCCTTCCTACAGAATCTCCTTCATCTCTGTCCACCTGCCCTTCCTTCCTCTCCTTTGGTCCCACCTCTGTTCTTTCCTCTCCATCCTTCCTCCCTTTCATGTTACCTCCCTCCTTMCCTGCTCTCTCCCCGTAATCCTCTCCATCTCTACCCTCATTCCTTTCCCTCCTCTCCACTAACCCCTCATCTCTTCCTTCCTCCCCTTCCCTCCTCCAAATCAGCTTCCCTTCCACTTCCTTAAACACTCTTTCAATGTTTTCCCACACTTTTCCACTCCTATACCTTTCTTCCCACACCTTCCCACATTCCTTCCTTCCCCTCTCCCCCTCCTCAGAGAGCCCGCCTACTAGCTCGGCTGCATATTCATGGGCTACAAGACATGGAACAGAAATGGAATCTGGAACCAAAGATACAGGAGACACATTAGTAGCACAAACCGAAATCACATGGTTACCTGGGACTAATGGACAAGCTAGAAAAGGATTGCTCCCGGCCTCCCTCTCTTGTTCTGGAGGTTGGTAAACATTTATCTCCCTGAGTTGGTTAGGAAGTACTTCTGTCCTTTGGTCAACTTAGTGATCCCCTAGATGGCGTATTCCTGCTCTGCTTCCGGTTCTCCCGATTTTCCCCTTCTGATAAACCTTGCACACTCTGTGGTCTTGGGAATGAGATAAGCTGATTGTAATCTTCACCTTGAAAAAAGCTTACAATATTCCACCCATCCATGTCACCTCCAGCACAACTACCTTCATCGTTTACATTGCCCACGCTAGTGCCATCAACAAAAAGGTCCTCCGATTCATCATCGCCTTCACTGCACTGCACCCATCCTTTAAGCTCCTTCAGACTTCATCGGGAAACCCACTATAAAGCCTACTTCTTCTCTGGTTTCTGGCGCTGCGCTCATTCCCCCCTGTCACGCGACTGGGGACGATGATAGACCGTTAACATTGTCTATCTTAGTCGAAACCCCAGTCACATGTTTCATTAAAGGCTCACACGCCTTTTTAACAAATTGGGTCAAGCCTGCTGACCTATTTGGGTCTTTAATAACACCACTAACAACCACATGGGCTTTTTCTTTGGCCCATTCTTAAACACCCGCGAGCTCACGTGACTTTTAAGAAGGTCACGCACGTCCAACCCCGGGCTTGGTTTGGTTTTATCAAGTCTAGGTTCGGTTCTTCCTTGGACCAACCCCTTTTCCTTGTTCAAAAAAGTCAGATTGGCATCAGTTACAACCTGTGCAAAGGACCTGCCACCCTCCAGACAGTTCACTACTTCCACACGCGAAAATCCCACCCCCTGAATGCTACGCTTTTGTTTCTCCAGCATTTGTTTTTCCATTTTAGTGAAAGTGCTTTTCTTGTTTGAATCCTCCAACCCTTTCTTGCCACGCAGTTCTTCTTCAACCTTCTCATCTCCCTCCCTACG